CTGGGGCCAACTGCTGCAACAGTATAGACACGGCCATTTTTACTATAGGTTGGTACAGCACCTGATGCAGTAGGCATTGTTACCTGGTATAAGTGAACTTGGAGCCAGCCATTCAGGTGGGCAAATGGCATCTTGCAAAGTAAAACCCAACCAGAAATAAACTGGGCTGGCCCCATATTTTGGATCTGATTAGCCCAGGGCCTGCCTGTGGTTTCTGGTCATTAAATGCATCAGAGTAAAAACACTCAACTTGTGGTGGTTCCCTTCATGGTCTTTAGCTGCTTTTCAATCCCTACTTTAGAAGAGCATGGGGGTTTTTTGCACAAGAAGAAAGCCTCATACTTCCTTATTTCCTCCTTTTGCTCTGTGTTTTCTTGTTGCAGAAAAAGAATCAGCAAAAGAAATTAGTGTGCGTGGGTGGGGGCATGACGATGTGGTCCTGTAGCTAAAATAGACATTGCTTTTCAAAAGACTGAAAAGCTGCTTTATCTAGGAACCCAGATGCAGTCGTTTAATAGGAAACATGGAGTTGCAAAGAGAGGCCCATCGTCTTGAGCAAACTTGTGACAAGCCCTGGCAAATCTATTGGCATTGGCTTATGAAAAGCACTCTGTGAAATCACAAGACAATGGATAAAGTATCCAGGCTGGAGATGGGACTTTTTCTTTTTCTTTCTTTCTTTTTTTTACCAATATCATGAGCTTCTCCACTATGAAGAGTCATATGATAATATCAGAGCCAATGATCAAGCCAGGCTCTTAACCTCTGAGTATCTCCTTTGTCTGACTGGGTTCTGGTGGAGCTCCAGTGAAGGGTCTGGTTAACTCATTGTGGGTTTCTGTTTTCACTTGTACAGATGAAATCATGCAGCAGGAGATAAGGCCGCTGGTTGCAGTGGATATAATAGAACAGCTCCACCGGCAATTTGCTATCCTGTCAGGTAAGGACGGAGTTTCAATTGTATTCTTGGAATCTTCTGCAAACGTGCTGAGCTTTGCTCCCCTGATTTCTCCTCATCTACCCAGCTCTGCATTGCAGCTGCGACAGCCCTTTTAATATTGGTCCCAGGCAGAACTGTTCCTCTTAAGTGTTAGTGGTGAGATGACAAACACTTGCCTGATCATTCTTGTTTTTCAGGCAAGTCACCTGAGCGGTGGTTTCCCTTCTCTCACTAAAGAATCTGTAGGTTTAGAGGGTAAGAAATTAAAGAAACAGGTGTTTACAAAATGTAAAGGAAAAAAATATTTCTTGCAGTGAGACAAGTCTTCGGTTCATCAGGGAGCTGTGCATGTGTTCCCTTCACTCAGCGCTGCTGGCTTTTAGGATAGAAACTTGTGATAGACAGAGGGTTCGAAATGATCTATGCGTATGATGCATTTCTTTGTCGCTTCCTAGGCCTGCATGATGCTTATAGAAAATCAAAAGGGTGTGATGTTTGTCTCAAAGACATAGTAAAACTTTAAAGTGGTTTCTTCATTATGTAACCAACAGTAGGGTCTGTTTTGGCTCTGACTTTGAGCTAGGGAGGAGGATATGGCTTCTAGCACACTATCTCTGCCACAGATGACCTGTCTGACCTTTGGCAAGTCACTTAGCTGCTCTCTTGTCCTCAGTTTCCTCTTCTCTATGCTGGGGATTTTTGCTTTCTTGCCTCACAGGGCTGCTGTAAGGTTTAATTCTTTCATGTGTATAAAATGTCTTAAGAATCTTGTTTCTGTTTATCCAAACTTTGCTTGGATGCATTTTTTTCAAACACTGAATATGAAGGTCAAACCCATTCCTCCAGCCCTTTCCTATCTGTGCAGGAGCCAGCTGACCATTGGGCTTGTCAGTGGGCAAAAGGACCAGGGAACTGTCCAATGCCACCAGCAGGCAACTGGAGCGACATCAGAGTAACCCCTCCCAAACCTCCCCCTCTCTGCCCCAAGCTCTGCGGAGAGGAAAGCTCTTCCCCCAGCTTCCCCCCTCTCCCCCCCACATAGATGCAGTTTGGAAGGCCTAAAATCGTTCTTGCATGCAGGAAAACCTATTAAAGGCTGGCTAGGATTGGGGTGACCCCATGCTACAGGGTGGCTTCAAGAACAGCATTATTCCCTGGATGGCATCTGGCCTGCTTTAGGTCAGGATCTAATGAGAAGGCAAAATCTAGTCCTAGAATCATACAAAATTAGGATTTGAAGGGACCTTAGGAGGTCACATCTAGTCCAACCCCCTGCTCAAAGCAGGACCAGCCCCAACTAGATCGTCCCAGCCAAGGCTTTGTCTAGCCGGGTCTTAAAAACCTCTTATTCCAGTCCTCACCTTCTAGTTGATGGGAGCTGTCGAGTTCTTGGCTTGTCTCTGCCTTGGGGAGGGGGAATCTGGCACCATGAGCCCAGGTCTGTAATACCGGCTTATTTGGTCTCAGGGTATGGATGGACAAACGAGCTATGCTGACGTAAGGGGGTCAGGAGCATTTACCAGTGCTGTGCCTCAGTGGTTTCATGGTAACTGTTTTGGGTGTTTGCTCTGTCCCAAGTAAGTGGAAGCTGAACTGGGATGGCTCACCCCTGAATGAAGCATGGCTGAGTTACAGCAATTTCGCTTCCTCTTACAGCAGGATAGAGCAGTACCTGGGGCTTGGTTCAGTGCCACCTCCTGGGAGTCTAAGTGGACTAAGCGTGATTCTATTCCACCCTGTTCAAGTCCCTGAAAATCCAGAAATGCGTCTGCTTTTGTGACACACCATCATCTTGCCCTGAAGAGTCACAAAAAAGCAGCAAGAAGGTGGGCGAAGATCCGCCCACCTTCTGTATGAACGGTTTTTCAGGGACTCGAGCAGGATGGAATGGAATCATGTTTAGGCGCCTCAGTGCATTGAGGTGGCGAATAAGTAGAATAAAATCTGGTCTCCGGTGCATGGTAAGTTGTTTTTTTTTTTTTTTTTTTTTCCTGTTTAAGTTGGTTGAATTTGTCTGCCCCTATCCTACCTCTCATTGCAGTAGGATGTTTTAGCTTGTCATATCCAACACAGCATAGTGGTGCTGTGAGAAATTGCTAAGGAGAGCCAAGGAGGTAGGGGTCTGTCTGGTGGTGGTTCAGCCTCTGAAGCTTGTTAAACAAGCCTTCCTCCCCAGACTCTGGCTTTCACCCATGTTTTAAATGATGTCACAGCGTTACTAGATCTTATTTCCAAGGAGGACTGGCAGGCTCAGAGGTTTGGTAGGAAGCCATAGACTGTAACGAATCCCCCAAATTTCCCCTCTAAAGTTTCCTATTCCAAATCCAGGCTTGAAGCAACTCCAAGTGGCTAGCAGTGGCAGATACAGGGGTGTGTACTGGAGCTGTTGCACCCTGCTGTGATTCTTCCTCAACCCAAACTTAAAAACTGATTGCCTGGCAGCAGCATTTCTATTTAGGCAGCAGTGAGGGGGTCAGTTGACTTCCTGGCTTACTACCATCTACCCAATTCCTGCTAATCTCTCGTCATTCCACAGGTGTTAACGACCCTCTCTCCTTTTCAGTGGTCTTGATATTCCGCTATTCAAACTATCCTTTCTTCTGTAGTATTGCTGCTGTCTGTTAGACCTTCCTGTTAATGCCTCTCTTCTATTTCCCACCCTGTAGAGTGCTTTTAGCTCTAGCTAAAAACCTTAACTTAGGTGTGGTAATACTCAGATATGGAAATGACTGACAGTGAAGTATTGGAGGCAACTGTCAAGACACTCAGGAAGGCTGGATTTTGTTTTATGAATCTGAATAAGCGATGTACGTGTAACTATAATGACTACAGGACTAATGAAACAATCCTTTGACTATTTTGACTGCTTTTTGCCTAGCTTGTTGTGTGTTTTGGACTTAAATATATTATCTATGTATCCCAAAGACTTCCCCCTCTTCAGGGTCTGATTGGTGAGGAGAGGGAATCCCCCCCACCAATCATTTTTCACCCTTTCAAAACCCCTGGGCCAAATCACTACCAGCTAGCCCGTCACATCTAGCAACTCTACATGCATTCCATTAAAGTTATATTTGTTTTAGCTTTGAATTTGAACTGAATTCGATAGTGCTAGGCCCCTAGCATATTAGTAAAGATTCTAGTTTCTCTTTAAGTGGAGTGTGGCAGGGCATCTTTGGTGCCCGCCACTTTAGGAGGTTAAGCAGACGGTGAAGCAGCTGGCAGGTTTGGTGCAACCTACCGAAGCAGTCACATGACCACGGGAGGGCTTGTGGATTGGAGGATGGGGCTGACCAGCCTCCATATAAACCCAGCCCCTCAGAGCTGAGCTGGCAGTTGCTGGAGGGAGCCAGAAAGAGAACGTTGCCCAGCCCAAGTACTGCTGCTCTCGGAGCACATGGTGGTTAAGGGTATGAACTATGGGGATGGAGGAGGTTCCTGGGGAATGACCTAAAATGACACCCTACTAGAGTAGGATGGTGTGATGGGGCTGTCTGTGGTGTGGTGGTCCCCAGGAAATACCACACTAATTGCCTCCCTAGTGAAAGGCAAATATGGGGTGCCTTATAGCCTTAACCCCCCACAACCTGGTGGGTTACCCCATAGAGAGGACAGGAGGGGGTCCGGGCATGTCATCAGACCTCAGACCCGAGGGGCATAAGGCTAAGAGCCTCAGTGAGGGGGCGGAGTAGCGGCCCAGTGATGGCGTGTGTAAAAGCAGTGAGGGCTGCATAGAGTAGGGTTCACATGGGCAACCTGAAGGACTGTGCTTGGGCCATGTAGAGGAGGGTCCATAAGAGGGGGCCTGAAGGGCTGCGCATAGGCTGGGCTTGATTAAGTGAGATGAGGGGCCCGAGAAGGCGGACCCCTTCTTGGAGGGGCCCGAGAAGGCGGACCCCTACGTGGGAGAGAGCGTGACCAGCTCATAACCTGACTGGAGAAACCCTCAGCTGGTCAGTGCTGGGGCCAGGACCAGATCAGTCAAAGGGCCAGAGGGCCCACACTCAGGGACTCCCAGAGCCAGAGGCCTGGGCTTCCGACTGACCTGGAGGTGAGGCCAGGGCCTGTGTGGCCAAAGGTCCTCGAGGGGACTACAGCCAAGGGAGAAGGGTTCAGAGAGCTTGGCAGCCCAGTATGAGGGCAGAGATTAGACTACCTGAGAAGAAGGTATCCAGGTGGGATCTGGACATCAGGCAGGCATGGAGTGAGGCCCATTGTGGGGCTGAAGCCTCATAGTGATGCCATCTGTGAGGCATGGGACACGGTGTAGGGACAGTACGGAGCCGTGTATTACGCCCTTGGCATCGGGCAGTAAATGGGCAGCCTCCCACGTTATAAACAACTTAATTGGTTGCATTAAAGCCAAGGCAGGTGGTTGGACTGCCCTACACAGGTGGGTGGGCCTGAGATTTGACCGGCTGGAAGACGGCCCCCTGTCACATGGAGAAAATGTGTTGTCATGTGTGATGTGATGCACTGCACCATCTGTACCCCACTCTTCTCAAAATCCTAGATCTGCCTATGGTGGCTGCCACGGCTCTTTGGTAGGTGACATGAACCAAGGTGAGTGGTTTCTGTCTTGCTCCTAGTGCTCATCTGGTAACCATAATTGATTACTATCTTGTGTCTGAACAGAGGCACCAACAAGTTGGGAGACAGCCCTGGCTGCTCAGCTGCAAGCCCCTTGTCTACAGTAGAGCATTCTGGTGTTGCTCCAGTGTTGCAACAGCTGCAGTTCATCCTCTGGGATGATCCTACAGTGTGTCCACTTGCCCATCAGAGGCTGCATTGACAGTGGGTCTTTCACAGGGGCCTGTGCAGAAAGTGCTTGGCACAGCTTTGTACCTCACCCAAAGTGGCAGAGCTGGCTTAGACTTTGCCTCCCATTCTTTCTTTGCCTCACAGCCTGTGGGAAGGCTGGTGCCTACCATCATGGCAGCTGCATTGTAGTGCTGGAGTGTGATGATGAGGCATAACCTCTGCTCCCCAAAACCCATGCGGTT